AGTTACTCAGGTATTCATTCATTGCTTCACAGGGTACACATTCAACAAGTGCTTTACTTTTGGTGGGTGCTGTGGGGAAGCTGGAGATAAAGTCATAAAGGGAAGAGGTGTAGCGTCAGTACAGAAAACAGTAGTGGTGAGGGGAAGACCTGGGGTCACTGACTTCCTGCAAAATAAGACATGTAAGCTGAGTTCTAAAATAATCAAAAGGCTGATGACAATAGGAGCCAGGGAAGAGGCTGATGGGTGGAAAAATACAGTCAAGAAGGCAGCAAGAGAGAAGTGGAGTAGAGGGAACTGGAGTAATTAGCCTTCAGGACAAGCTGGGGTGCTGCTTCTTCAGAAGAACCGGTAACCATTGGAGAAGCAGTGGCTTATGTTTCCTATGGCTGGTTCTAGAAGGATTTGAGAATCACTTTATCTCAGTATTAACTTTCTGAGAGTGACAGAGGTTTGGTTCTCACAAACATGGCATGGCCCGCTTGTGCCAGCCTCTCCTATGGTGAGTGGAGACTATAACACACCTTTTTGATGCTTCTGTTGATCCCTGTGGAGACTACTAATTCTTCCAGAGTCTTAGAAGGCATCTCTTGGGGAAGTAAATTCACAAGGCAAAGTAGAAGGACTTGCAAATTTAAGCGCAGTTTGCATATTTCAACCTGTAAATATAGTTGAGAGATGAGAATTTGGATGAGCACTAAAAAGCAGGACATGCAATGCTGGCTACAAGAGGTGCTTCAAAACATTTTTCTGTTCTCGACATGATGACATCATGCTAGCTTCTTAATGAAGACCATGATGCATGTCGCAGGAAGAGACAGAGATGTGCTTGTACAGAGATGGCCAGAATTATTGAGTGGTTTCACCTGCAAGGTAAGTGGGAGAATAATGTCAAAGAAGGGATTGTAGTAGAGGATTCTACATGCTGCACAGGGAAACAAGCTATGGTCTGAACACAGACTTCAAACATGTGCTAAAATGTAACTCTGAGAGCAACAGTATTAGGTGTACAGCCCAAAGGGAAGTGCTGAGATTGTAAGGGTGGAGTCATTCATAAAAACTTTCTCTCCAATTTTCCTGCCATGTTAGGAACAGTTACTCCTCTCCACCGGATGAAGGATTTGAGATAGCATCTTGGAAGTGGAGAAAGAGCCCTTTCAAGTCACCAAAAGTGGCAAAGAACTTGAACTTCTTTGCCTTTAGAATGTGGAGGCAATGTTTCTGTTCTTCATAAACTACCAAGTCTGAGGGATTTTGCTATATAGCAAGGCAAACAGACGAAGGCAATTACTCAGTGGAAGAAAGAAGCAATAGAAGAAAACAAGCTGAAGCTAAGTTAGGGAAAAGGTTAAGGCACAGTGCATTGGGAAGTATTTAATGGCCAGCTCCAAAAAATTATAGATGCAGAATGTACTCATGAAAGTTTACTATAAATTTTACTGATATAAAAGGTTATACCCTTTTATATACTATATAAACAATAATAAAATGAACAATCATTTTATAAAAATTCTATGGAGACAATTCTCATGGAATGTTTCTGTCAATCTTTTGTTGAATTCATTTCTGTATAGTTGCCAAGAACAATGAAATGCCATTCTGACATGAATTTAGGTTGATGCTTTCTTTGATATTAACAAGAACAAAAGCAACAGAGTGCAGACATACATGAAAAATCTGGAACTTCACTCATTTGCCAGTGACTGGAGTGATTTCTCTGTCAAACTGGAAATAGTTTCAAATAAAGCAAGAATAGTATTTCAACTTTCATGCTATTCAGAATGCAGTGGCTATACACACAGCACCTTTTTATGTCTGTTTATATTATCTGCATCTGCTTCGCTGCTTATTTAAGCTCATACAGTCAACAAAGTAATAAATCAAACTCTGGTTTATAGCATTTGCTGATTTTCATGCTGTAAATATTCCCACTATGGCAAATTTAGGTTTTCAATTTGACACAATGAATGAAGCGTGGAGAGGAGACATATAATAGGAGCACAGCATTATAGGGTATTCCCTCCACATAGGAGCAATGGGCATAAATAACTCTAAGGATGCAGATCTTACTTGGTACAACACAATTAAGTACTGCAAAATCATTGGAAGAGCTAGGAAGATGTTTCAGCAGGTTGGTTCCCCCCCTCCACCATGTGGGTCTCAGAGAATGAACTTAGGTCTTCAGTGTAGTTGGAGTTTTCTTTGGGCTGCCAGATCACTAATAATGGCATGGAGACTTATTAGTTACAAAAGCTTGTCCTTAGATTAGGCTTTTTTTAAAACTAGCTCTTACAACTTAAATCAACCCATTTCTATTAATCTATGTAATGTCACATGCTGCCCATCCTGATTCCTCTATGTCTCCTCATATCTCTCTCATACACTTTGATTCCTCTGCCTTTTTCTCTCTGCCTGGAAGTTCTGCCTATACCCCCGTCTTAACTATTGACTGTTCAGCATTTTATTATACCCGTCACAGCAATACACCTTCACACACTGTACAAATATCCCTCAGGCTGTTTGGAGACCCACATTGTGGAGGGGGGGAACCAACTCCCACAAGTTATCCTCTGGCCTCCATGCATGTCTCTCTGTCTCTCTGTCTCTGTCTCTGTCTCTCTCTCACACACACACACACACATAACAAAGGATGTAATAAAATTTAAATCTTGGAAAATTATGAGTTTTATGTATTTGTTATCCTTATGTTTGATTTAACTAATTATACATTGATGGGGGAAGTCCTTCTGTGTATATGTTGTCTTATTGGTTGATTAAATAAAGCCCTGTTGGCCAATAGGAAAGCAAGATAGGTGGGACTAGGAGTCAAGGAGGATTCTGGAAAACAGAGACACAGTCAATCGCAATGTAGGATGTGGGAGAAGTAAGAGGTCCAGACCCTTTTCTCTGGTAAGAGAAGACCTGTAGAAATACTCAGATTAGCAGTTATGGGTTAATAATTAAGTCAGAACTAGCAGATAAGAAAACACAGCAAGCAGTCAGTATCATCATAATTGATATAGTGTTTCATGTGTTATTTGGGGGCTGGGACAGCTCGGGACCCAGGCAACTGGTGGGAAGACTACACGTTACAATACATTTATATAACTTAATGTTTAGTGAGTGACAGCTTTGTTTCATAATCAACCTGCAAAGTTTCTAGAAAATCACAGACAATACAAGCTATCTCCAGCTCTGTATGTAGAAAATAAACTTAAAAAAGGTAATATCTTAACCAAAAAAAAGGAAATACAACCAATAATATAGTAAGTACAGAGTCAGAGGGCTTGGTCACAAAATAGCAATGCTACCTGACTTTAATTATGTTTGCAAAACCTTGTGAGATTCTCCAATATCTGACTTTGTCCTCCAGCCTTAGCTCTTGATGCTCCTTCCCTTGGACTTGGTACATCAGTGGCATCAAAAGATTATGTTGCCTCAGTCCATAGAAGGATGTTCTACCTCCAGACCCTTGTCATGGCTCCCTGTCTGTCTGAAATACATTCGTCATCTGTTTCCTCCTTCTATTATTATGGAGCTATTCTCTGCTCAGAGTCACATATACTGAAATGCAATACTCCTAAAAAACAGTTTTATCCCACCCTACCCCCAAAACAGAGTCCAAAATGAGTTTGAGCATCCCCATGAGGGGATTCTCAGATTGGCATTTCTTAGACCACTGTATCAAAATATTCCTTTTTAAAATATTAATAAAGGCCTATAGTGCTTCTAAGATTCAAATAAGGCCCTTTATTTTGTATCTTTACTCCTAGCATGCTCTGGAACATAATAAATATTTGTTTTAGCAAATAAATGTTATTGTCAGTTTTGATCAAACATATCTCTTTAAGGAAAAGCAGATAATATCCCTTTATATAAAGAAGGTATTGATAGATGGATTTTTTTGTAGACAGATTTGTCTGTTCCACCATCCAGGCTCCAACTCATGACATGAATAGTTATTGTTAACTATGAAAGCTCAGCAGATAGCTTAGGCTTGTCCCACTACCTCTTATAACTTCAATTAACCCACTTCTGTTCACCTACACGTTGCCACAAGACTCACAGAATTAACCTAGCCTCCTGGATGTCTTGCTGCCTCCCCATCTTCCTTCTTCTTCCCAGTGTTTGCTCTTTCCAAAAATCCTGTGTAGTTATTGACTGTTAGCTTTTTATTAAACCAACCACAGTGATGCATCTTCACATGGTATGAAGGAATATTCCACAACAATAAGCCAAAGAAAATACCATCAAAATAAATAGCAGAAGAATGTGCACCTCCACAGGTTTTGCAGCCATTCTGGGGAAACAAAAGTCATTCAATTGCTGGCATAAGCCACCATTCTGGGAAAAAGACAAGATAGGGAATGGAATGTTCCCCTCTCCTTAGGACAGCGATTTTGACCCATGTTGAATCTGTTTGTGGTTAGGGTACCAAGCAGGTAGGTAAAGATGGAGAACAAAATGGCAAGAATAACTTAACAGTTGATTCTTCCCAGTCAGGAAAAGCTGAAATGTGAGTTTATAATGAAGTCCTTGAGACAAAGCAACTTGATATATGTGTGAATTCACATTTGTACTAGAGAATCGCAGTAGGCATAACTGACAAGTTCTATCTTCAGTTAGCAGAGAACAGATGCAAAGACAATCTAAGAACAAAAGAATAATCATTAGAGTTAGAAAAGGGTCAAAAGATGTATAAGCTTTTACAACAACAGGGAGAGACTTCCCATCATACTTTTGGGGCCTTGGGAAATCTTCACTGGGACATTAAATGAATTGTGTATTGATGAATGAATAACTTTCAACAGGCAATAATGAGCAAATAGGAAATATCCAAAGCTCTGAAAAATGTCAGGAGCAAAGGTAGAATGACATATAATTGTTCTCTCTGATGGAGAGCCTACTGAATAAATCAATTGGAAAAGAGTATTAGCTTGACAAAACATTGCTTGTGAAACCTTGAAAGACCTTAGTGATTCAATTTCCCTTGCTAAGTGTTCGTTGACTACTTTGCCAATAATTTATTCTCAAGTCATTCTCAATATTCATCCAAGGGTTTCTGTAAGCCTCAAATTCCATCTTCTTTCTTGTTTGTGAAGGAATCAGACTGGCCCAGAAGTTTCCACCAATTATTTTAAGTATCTTTCATTTTCTTTGGTTCCTGAAATTAGAAACATAAAACAAACTCGCTTCTGTCAAAACCATAGACTATAAGACCAAAATTGATCACCTGATGAACAACAATTATACACCAAGCCTAAAAGTAAATGTCTATATACCCTAGTACTTCTAACTGTTTTAGATGAGGAGGGAAGGAAACTAAGGAGGAGCAGCAGGAAGAGGGAGAGCATGGTTAGATAGATGTAGAAAACCACATGACCATGGTTTGTAAACTCTAGTCCACCAAATTCTAAGGACATACAAGTAAAAATCCTATGGAGTTCACAGCTGAATTAATGTATAGAAAAATATGTATCTGTGGATTTTCTAAGAAAAAGCCCTATGGAAAGATATACCCTTTATTGAATTCAAGATTGATATAGAAGTAAATATCTTACCTTCCTAAATGATAGAGTTTGTGGCAAACCATATTGATATTTTTCTAGCACTATAATCAAAAAAGCAATTAGATGCAGTCAACTGTTTTTGGTATGAAAAGAGCCATTTTGTATTAATGGCAGGTAATTTAAGCAGCCACAAGTGGTGCATTTTAGCAACTGTCTTCCACACAACAGTTACTGTGTTCTTTAAGATGAAAATAAAGTACATTTCACTCTCCCCACAGCAGTCACTGAAACCTTAAAAATACATAGGAATGGGAATAAAAAGATTTCTTATCAGAATTAGTAACATTAATAAACAATTCCCAATTAACAGCCTCAAAAAATGAATCCTGCATTAACCCCATGTTTCTCAAAAGATGGTTCATTGAAAATGGGGTGGGGAGATCCTACATACTCACTTTTGTTCAAACTATGCTGTGTTCCACATTACAGCAAATGGGATGGTGGTGGTGGTGATTTAGTTGTTTGATTTTTTTCATCCTTTAGACTTGTTGGAGAAAGAAATAGAAATAAAGCTCTGGGGACACTAGGAGGGTGGCCATAGGACCAGTAAGTAAAGGACGATGTCATAATCCATCCATTCAACACATCTCTATGAAATTCTACACTTGTCGAGCATTGTGTCTGACAGTAAAAATTAAAAGGTAAATGAGATATGTTCATTGTTCACAGGGAGTTTGTGTTTTTATACTTTGAATTATCTGATTTTTCAGAGTGAGACTACAGGATAGAATATAATAAATGCGACTTCCACCCACACTCAGGGCAGAGGACACAGACAAGCTCTGGGTCCCCATCTTAGACCCAAATTTCTCCTGCTCAACCCCTCTAGGGTCCCCTGACCTGAGGAGTGCAACCAGGTTGACTCACCCCAGAGAAACGACTAAGGACCAAGCGACCAGGAGCCTGCAGAGAGAGCTGGTCCACTTCTGCCCACACTCAGGGCAGATGGCAAAGCCAGGTTGGCTTGCCCCAGAGAGACAACCAAGGACCAAGCGACCAGCAGCCTGCAGAGAGAGCTGGTCCACTTCTGCTGGCACTCAGGACAGAGGACAGAGGACAGAGGACAGAGAGCATAGAGCAGAGGCCAGACCATATTGGATTTGCTTGTACCCACCGAAAGGGAACCCTGGTCATCTACCCACCAGGAGAGGAAGAGGCTCTTTCTACACCCACTGTAAGAAGTGATGGGAAAGAGGCAATATAAGAACACACTCAGCAGCTAAAAAACAAATGTGACACCACCAGAGTCTAGAAATTCTACACCAGCAAGACCTGAACACCACAGTGCTGATGAAGCAGAAGGGAATGACCTTAAAAACACCTTCATAAAAAATGATAGAGGCCCTCAAAGAGGATATGAGAAAATCCCTTTAAAAATGGAAGAAAAAACAAACCAAAAAATAGAACAAATGCAAGAAAGGGAGAAAAACATGAAGCAAAAATTGCAAGAAACAATTCAAACAGTGCAAGTGTTGAAAGCTGACATGGAGACAATAAAAAAACCAAGTCTGAAGGAATGCTGGAAATAGAAAAACTGGGGAAATGATCAGGTAATACAGATGCAATCATAACCAACAGAATACAAGAGATAGGAGAGAGAATCTCAGGTGTTGAAGACACACTAGGAGAAATAGATTCGTCGACCAAAGAAAATGTTAAATCCAACAAATCCCTAACACAAAACATCCAGGAAATATGGAACACCATGAAAAGACCAAACCTAAGAATAATAGGTATAGAAGAAGGTGAAGAAACCCAACTCAAAGGGGTAGAAAACATATTCAACAAAATCATAGAAGAAAACTTTCCCAACCTAAAGAAAGACATGCCAATGAAGGTACAAGAAGCTTACAGAACACCAAATAGAGTGGACCACAAAAAAAGTTCCCACGCCACATAATAATCAAGACCCAAAGCATACAGAATAAAGAAAGAATACTTAGAGGAGATAAGGAAAAAGGCCAAATAATATATAAAGACAAACATATCAGAATTACACCTGACTTCTCCATGGAAACTCTGGAACACAGAAGGTCCTGGATAGATTTTCTATCAACACTAAGGGACCACGGATGCCAGCCCAGACTACTATACCCAGCAAAGCTTTCAATCAATATAGATGGATAAAACAAGATATTCCATGACAGAACCAGATTTAAACAATACATATCCACTAACCCAGCCCTACAGAAAGTCCTAGAAGGAAAACTCCAATCCAAGGAAATTAGCTACAACCAGACAAACATAGGCAATACATAAACCCACTTTACCAACAGCCAAAAAATAAAAAGGGTGGAAATACACACACAATTCCACCACCATCAACCATTCCAAAACAAACAAGAATGAGCAATCAAAGGTCATTAATAACCCTCAATATTAACGGCCTTAACTTGCCCATAAAAAGGCACAGGCTAACAGAATGGATTCAAAGACAGAAACACACCTCAGCTTCAAAGACAGATGTTACCTCAGAGTTAAGGGTTGGGAAAAGATTTTCCAATCAAATGGACCCAAGAAACAAGCAGGGGTAGCAATCCTAATATCTGACAAAATTGACTTTAAACTGAAATCAATCAAAAGAGATGAAGAAAGTCATTTCATATTCATGACAGGAGAAATCCACCAAGATGAAGTCTCGATTCTGAACACCTAAACCCAAAAACAAAGGCATCCACATTTGTAAAAGGGACATTATTAAAACTCAAACCATACATAAAACCTCACACATTTATAGTGGGAGACTTCAACACCCCACTCTCACCACTAGACAGGACTACCAGACAGAAACTTAACAAAGAAACAAAGGAACTAATAGAAGTTATGAACCAATTGGGTTTGACAGACATCTATAGAACAATCCATCCAAACACAAAAGAATATACCTTCTTCTCAGCATACATGAAACCTTCTCAAAAATTGGCCACATACTTGGCAACATATCAAACCTCAACAGGTACAAAAAAATTGGAATAACTCCATGTATCTTATCAGACCACCATGCTTTAAAGTTAGAATTCAACAACAACACAAATTGCAGAAACCCTACAAACTCATGGAAATTGAATAATGCACAATTGCGCCACTCCTCGGTCACAGAAGAAATAAAAAAGAAATTAAAGACTTTCTAGATTTCAATGGAAATGAAGACACAACATACCCAAATTTATGGGATGCTTTGAAAGCAGTGCTAAGTGAAAAGTTCATAGCATTAAGTGCCTACATGAAGAAACTGGAAAATAGTCACACTAGAGAATTAACAGCACAACTGAAAGCTCTAGAACAAAAAGAAGCAAACTCACCCAAGAGGAGTAGATGCCAAGAAATAATCAAATTGAGGGCTGAACTCAATAAAGCATAAACTAGGAAAAGATACAAAGAATCAATGTAACTAAGAGTTGGTTCTTTGAGAAAATCAACAAGATAGACAAATCTTTATCCAAACTCACCAAACGGCAGAATGTGAACCTGCAAATTAATTCAGAAATGAAAAGGGGGATATAACAATGGACACTAGGGAAATCCAGAGACTCATCAGGTCATACTTTGAAAACCTGTACTCCACAAAATTCAAAAATTAAAGGAAATGGACAACTTTCTGGATAGATATCACCTGCCAAAATTAAATCAAGAACAGATAAGCAATTTAAATAGACATATAGCCCATATGGAAATAGAAACAGTCATCAAAAGTCTCCCAACTTAAAAAAACCCAGGGCCAGATGGCCTCAGTGCAGAATTCTACCAGAAATTCAAAGGTCAGCTTATACCAATTCTCCTCAAATTATTCCATGTAATAGAAGCAGAAGGGTCTTTGCCAAACTCTTTTTACTAGGCTTCAATAACCTTGCTACCCAAGCCACACAAAGACACAACTAAGAAGAACTTCAGAACAATATGCCTCATGAACATTGGTGCAAAAATACTCAATAAAATACTAGAGAACTGTATCCAAGAACACATCAGAAAACTCATCCACCATGATCAAATAGGTTTCATCCCAGGGATGCAGGGATGATTCAACATATGAAAATCCATCAATGTAATCCACCATATAAACAAGTTGAGAAACAAAAATCACATGATCATCTCACTAGATGCTGAAAAAGCCTTTGACAAAATATAACACCCCTTCATGATAAAGGTCTTGGAGAGATCACGGATAACAAGAACATACCTAAACATAATAAAAGCTATATACAGCAAACCAACAGCCAACTTCAAACTAAATGGATAGAAACTGAGAGCAATTACTCTAAAATCAGGAACAAGACAAGGCTGCTCACTCTCTCTATACCTCTTGAATATTGTACCTGAAGTTCTATCCAGAGCAATCAGACAGCAAAAGGAGATCAAAGGAATACAAATTGGAAAGGAAGAGGTCAAACTTTCACTATTTGCAGATGATATGATAGTTTACATAAGTGACCAGAAAAACTCTATCAGGAAACTCCCACAGCTGATAAATACCTTCAGCAAAGTGGCAGGATACAAGATCAACTCAAGAAAATCAGTAGCCCTACTATATACAGATGATAAAATGGCTGAGCAAGAAATCAGAGAAACATCACCCTTTACAATTGCCACAAACAACATAAAATATCTTGGGGTAAGGCTAACCAAACAAGTGAAAGACCTGTATAACAAGAACTTTGAGTTTTTAAAGAAAGAAATCAACGAAGACACCAGAAAATGGAAAGATCTCCCATGCTCTTAGATAGATAGGATCAACATAGTAAAAATGGCAATCTTGCCAAAAGCAATCTACAGAGTCAATGCTATCCCCATTGAAATCCCAGCACAATTCTACACAGACCTTGAAAGAACAATTCTCAACTATATATGGAAAAACAAAAGACCCAGGATAGCCAAAACAACCCTGTCCAACAAGGCAACGTCCAGACACATTACCATTCCCAACTTCAAGCATCATTATAAAGCTATAGTCCTGAAAACAGCTTGGTATTGGCACAAAAATAGACAGGTAGACCAATGAAATCGAATATAAAACCTTGATATTAACTCACACACATATGAACACTTGGTTTTTTGTGGAGCACTCCCTGACCAGCAGGAAAGACTACCACCAGACAAGGATTCTTCCCAAATCACGCTTTATTGGAGCCTCTTGGTTGAAGGGAGAGCAGGAAGCGAGGGACCCCGAACAAAGACTGCAGCTGCTTATATAGGAGCTGAGGCAGCGTGCAACTGTCCTATTGGTCGAGCACCCCTGGCAGCCACCTCAGGCTCCCTGATTGGCCCAGCAAGCTGAAGACAGTGAGCATGCTCAAGCTGGTGATTCTGGTTATGACCCTATATGGAGTTGTTTACTCCAGCCCTGCAGGGGCCCAGTGCCATCTTGGAATGGCGGCCACACCTCATGGCTCCCTGCAGTTCCCCCTTCTTGTTTCCTTCAGGGCCAAGTCAGGTCTTATTCCCGATCAGGTCTTCACCTCATGATGTGTGGACCGATCAAGAGAGGCCAAAAACACCTCATAGCATTCCTTCTCCAGTGCAATGGGATCAAGCCCTTGAAGGTGCAAAGGCAATGCTACGAAGGGGCCAGCACGCCTTCCTCAGTGCAATGTCATTACAG